GGGTGGAGGGATTTTATTTTACAGGAAGAATTTTAGTTTTTGCTGGGTGACTAAATGCACAATAGGTTACTGTCAAGGTCGAGCAGTCTTGTTTTCTCGCAGTACCTTTTGAAGGTATTATACAAATGAAGTATAATCCGGGAACATTTCATTGCCCCAACCACAACTGAAGTATCTGAATATTCAGACATTAAAAAATCTCTAGCTCTAGAAATTGAATTTGATGCAAAAAATGCTTCTTCCCAGTCCTCGCAGAATGGCAGAATGAAAGGATGACGCTTAAATCTCGCAAATGACCTAAAAAATCTCGAGATCGGAAACCGTTCGGAGAAATAAGAGTTCAGCGTTATTTTCCCGAATGTTCGGAGAAATAGTCACTTTGAAAAAAAAAGAGGCTTCCAGGACCGGTATCGAACCCACATTCATAAAATGATGGTTTGGCTTCAAACGCAGACATCAGAACTTCCAACAGCGAGAGGTAGATTAAGCTTGACATAACATACACTTCCATCTTTGGTGATGTAGTCAGGTTATCGGAGGGGTATCCTGGTCTGACGTCAAACAAGATGGCGGCCTTACCTAAATATAGTTTGTGTCGTTCTACGTTTAATCGCATGTATCAACAACGGAAAACAGCTTGCAATTTTTTGCATCTAAAATTATAATCTAGTTTCTAGATCTAGAATCTAAATCTAGATTAGATCGGGTTTCAGGGCTGATAATGGACATGCGACTACACGCAGGGCGTAAACCGGGCTACGATTGGCTGAACCTGTGGGTACTCTGGGAATTCCCGATTTCGGTCTCGTGCCTTTGACGGTCTTCTCACAGCGGGTTGAGTGCTCATGCGAGAAGAAAAAGAACAGCAACAAGAAAAACAAGAAGAAGAAGAATTGAGGAAGAGAAGGAGTATAGTAGAACAAAGAAGAATGAGGAGGAGGAGGAGGAGAAGACAAAGAAGAAAAAAAAAGAAGAAGGAGAAGGAGGAGGAGGAGGAGGAAAAGAAAAAGATGAAGAAGGAGGAGGAGGAGGAGGAGGAGGGAGGGAGGGAAGAGAAGAAGAAAAAAAAGAAGCACTGGACGAGGAGGAGGAGCAGGAGAAACTAGAGGAGGAGAACGAGAAGAAGATGAAAAGAAACAGAAGAAGGAAAAGAAATAGGCCTAGTAGTAATACATGTTACAAATTGGGGACTTTTTCGTGTTACCCAGAGAGAGAGAGGGTGGTGAGAGTGACAGGGAGGGTGTCGTGTCGTCGAGAGCGCTAAGAGTAGCCTACCGTAGGTCTAATGTATTGATGGGTCACAGGTTCAGCCAATCGTAGCCCGGTTTACGCCCTGCGAGTAGTCGCATGCTGACAATGGGGGGATTCAAGGGGGCTAGCCCCCCTGTTAGTGGAGGGTTTCAGGAGGGTTTGCCTGGCAAAAATTAAATTATAAAAAAACCACAATCTTCCCGTTTACATGGCAAATTATCAGTTCCAGTCAGAATGGCTATGGATTGGAACGGGAACAATTTCCAAAGAGCGTCGAATTCTAGATCTAGATACTAGATCTAGATCTATTTTCCGAATACCAGTCACTTCATCATACAGTCATTTCGTCACACTGGTGCAGTCAAAACAGTTATCTCGTCACACCCCAAATCCACAAGGTTGAATGGAGACGGTCATTTCGTAGCACACTTGCGAACATCAAACGCCCATTGTCATGGCAATCGCTAATCACGATTTTTCGATTTTTGGAGAGAGGGTTGGGGGGCTGTGTGAGGAAGGATGGGGGGCGGGGGCTGTGCGAGTCGTCGTGCCTACCTGATCAGCTACACCGTTCATCAACATGTACGCCTATTGACAAATTGAAATCTGTCGATTCAGATCAACAAAGTTTTTAAGTGTATTATTGATGAAAGTTGTAATTGGCAAGATAACAATATTAGTTCTGTTAAAAATAAATTAGCTACAAATGTATGGTACAGCAATTTTGCTTAAAAAGCTAGATTCTAGAAGATCTAGACCCTAACTTTCAAACAAGGTTCAAACAAACAAACCCTTACTAACTCTTTACCAGACATTGTTTTTGCCTTTTATTAAAGGGATATTAAATATATTGTTAGACTATGGAACAGTTTGGACGAAGATTTAATTTACATAATATATATAAAATATAACTCAGAATAAAGCTTTAGGCTTATCCTCCAAAACTCTACTACTAGAATCTAGATCTAATCTAGATCTAGATTCTAGATCTCATAGTCTATAGATCTAGATCTTGCATTAACAATTTCGGAGAGATATAAGCGAAGACATTTCGTCTCACATAGATCTAAAATCTAGATCTAGATCTAGATCTAGATCTCTAGATCAAGATCTCTAGATCAAGATCTCTAGATCAAGATCTAAATCTAGAATCTAGATAGATCTAGAGGTAAGATTGAAGAATACCGGACCAGCGGACTGACTTTGCCTATGTCTCAACCTTAGAAATTCATAATTTTCCCGTTTTTAATATCTCTCAATGGAGAATCTCGGACAGGTAGATCTATTCATTAAAATTTTGTCAGGGGGGAGACCCCCCTGAACCCCTCCTCCCCCCTCCTCCACCCCAACCACCCGCCCCACCAAACCCACTTTCTCGCGCAATAATGTAGCCTACGAGTGGTCCGGTATTCTTCAATCTTCCCGATCTAGAATCTAATTGGGGTGTGACGAGATGACTGTGTACTCAAGTGTACTCACTGTGTGACGAAATGACTGGTTACCTAATTATATTCCTATTTCACATGCGTTCCTATTTTCCTTCGGGTCTCTCCGAAGTCAAGACATTCTGTTAGAATACCTTTAGATCTAGGACCTAGATCTAGTCTTAGATAATATCCTGATCCTATAGATCAAGATCTAGATCTCGCACTTACAGTACTTACTTAACTTTACTTTTTTCTTCCGCTTGTACCGGTGGGTGTCGCGGGGACACACAACAGGCGTCTGTCTGCAGCAAGGCGAGTGGCCTACAAGGAGGGACATCCCGTGAGCTCTGGGGGATCTAGCACAAGAGAAGTAAATATGTGTACAATTAGGTAGACATTAGTAGACAAAGCATGCTTGGTGGCTGACTGTTAATCGGTTAGCCACCAAATCATTAGTCATAAGGTTCGAGAAATCAGAAAGCTCTGGTTGTTGGGCTGTCTACATTCGGTAACCGGGCACCTACCTAGTCTCAGTGTCTACGTACACGGTAACCGGCAACCGGGCACGTAGATTAGTCTCAATATCATGTACACGGTAACCGGGCAGTTCAGAACTCCAAGTTCAATTTTTGTCATCCGGTGTTTCCTTCATTTCTACCCCTCCCCGACTGTACCTTTAAACAAAATAAAAAATCCCCCATTCTGGAGCCCTATACTTCGCAGCATATAGAGGGTTTGAATGAACTTGGTGACCCCAACCAATACTCACAATGTGATGCACACACTCAGGTTCACCGAGCGGTCACAATGGCGAGCCCGACAAGACACTTGTATAACTTTCTTTTTTTTTCAGCAAGTGACCACACAGAACAAAATATTGATTTATTTTCATTCCGGTTTACCGACACGCAGATATTGAGACTATGTACCCGTGAGACGAGGTGCCCGGTTACCGTGTACGTAGACACTCCGTTGGAAATTTGGTATTTAAAAATTGAAGGCGTGGAATTTTATAATTTTTTGTTTCGGCGGAATAAACAATATTATTATTATTATTATTATTATTATTATTATTATAGGCCTACCCGCATGTTAGGCCTACGTCTTTGCTCTTTGACTAGATTTCTAGATCTAATACACACCCAAAAAAACATGAAACAATATTAATATTTATTAATTGGCATTAGGGATAAATAATTCATAATATATCTATATGTATTTATATTATTCTTAAGAAATAAAATTAAATATACGTGTGATTGCTGGAACCATTCAGAATATATATAATTTCATTTCCGATAGAATTCCAACGTTTTTTCAATTGCTTTTTTTTTCGAATCTTCATAGGCTTTTAGTCAAGGCCACAGAATCACGTCTGGACTCCTGCTGTGCTCTAATTCACTAAAGTCAAACCAAGGCCTTTTGTAGCAAAAACTAGTTTTTGGTTTATCCAAAAGAGTTTTGTCTACATTAATCAATAAATTATTTGATTATTAGTTTACAATTTCAATGGATACTGGACACAAGTAAAACCAATAATAATAATTGGGTTCTCATAATAATAGTAAACTTCGATTGGAAACTAGATAAGCATAATTCTAACCATTATATATATGATTTGACAAAGACTACGTATTGTGCTTTCATTGTCAAACAGGGCAAAATGTAAAGAGGTTGAGGGAGAGGGGGTGGGGGGTGGGGGGAGAGAATAGATCATGCTTAAGTTACATGATTGTCCCGTGATTTTCGCGATATACTTTTGCAGCAATTCCATTTTTAGATTTTATTGGTGATTCTAGTCCTATTTATAGTAATTTCCAGGAAATTTTAGTTCCACTTTCGTGGGAAATTTCGTTCGGGAACTAACTATCGGGAACCCAGTTGAAAGAAAAAAGATGTCAGACAGACATGTTAGATGCGGATTAAGGTGTACAAATTTTCCACAATCAACTTGTTTATTATGTGTTGCTGGGTGTGTTATCGTGATCTTTCATTTTCATAATCAGGCAGGGATGATCGGTCTAGCTATTAGCCTTTATGTTCATGACCACCTATAAACTTACAACTGGTGATGTGACGAGAGTCCACGGAATCTGCACACACCACAGGAATTGTTAAGAGGTAAGTTTTTAAAGGTTTGCTCATGTTTAATTGTTCAATCTTCCCCCGAAGAGCAAGGTAGAAATTTCCTAATGATTAAGTTGTCAAAAATAGCCTATTATACTTGAGTAAGGAGGCAGCGGAGCAAAGATCCAGTGCAAAATATGGACTTTGCTTTTTCACTTGCCTAATCACAGTTAAAATAAGATTTTAAACATTTTTATGTGTGGCAGCACGCGGTACCGTGAAATCAGGCACTTGTCAAAATACAGAAATTGGAGAAACAGCAGGCATTTTTCTGCCACTTTGGAAATTTTTGTGGAATTTTTTATTTATTTTTTTGGTGGGTGGGACTCATAACTTCTTTTATGTCCATATATATAAAAACACATTTCCATGCTAATTTTTACTGAAAGGCATTGATAAATAAGGCGCTGAATATGTCATTTTTCTGTTTACAAGGACTCTAGCTATTGATCAATCTTTGGTGGCCATTTTCTCGCTAATTTCACCACTGACCACTGAAACCAGGCGACCTCACTTCCTTCAACTGCAATCTTGAGGTCTATCTATTTCATGGAAAGAAATGCAAATTAAAGTCTGCTTTCAAACGATACCAAACTCCACATGCCCAACAATTGAGGAGCGCCTAGCTGATTCCATCAGGCCGTGACACATTATTATGTCTCTTTGTGACACAGGAGGCGAGTCTGTTTTTTCTTGGGGGCTTTTTTTAAAATTTTTTTAAAAAAGTGTTTGACTCTCAATTGCATTCATAAGATTATGCGAGTGCGCAAGACACTTTAAACCATTTTCAGTGTGGTAGGAATTGATTTAAAGTTTTGCCCAGATATGGCGGCCAAAGCTTGCTCCTACCAATTTTAGGACCACAGTGATCTGCAACGTGGCAACTTACGCAGGACCTCCGAGATTTTTTAGAATTCATTCACCTTATCCGAGAAGGCTATATGTGTTCAATCTTACCTACCCTAAGATCAGGGGTGGGGCTGAAATTAAAGAGTTAGGAGCCTAGAAAGAATAGAGGGAGGAAAGGGGGGGGGGGCAGAATTAAGAGGAGATGAAAGCAGATGGCAGAATAAGATTAGGGAGCAGAAAAAGAGGTGAAAGGAGAAAATTTTAGAGAAGAAAATTTTCCGGCACTGTCAGGTTTCCAACCAGGGAACTATTGAATAAGAGGTAAACGCCGTACCCCTGGATCACGAGAGCCATATTTTTGTGCTTCACCAGGCACAGTTTTAGATCCCCATGGAACGTTAATTTAGACTAGGTATGTAAATATCTATTAGACGTATTATTACAGACATGATCGCCGATGTCTGTCGCAGATCTGGCACTGGATGATGATGATGATGTAAATATCACTATCTCTAAAAGAATAAGCAAGATTTCTTTGTACGATAGGCTAAATATCACTGAATGTAAATCTGCAAATAGTTTAACGAAATACGTCTAATAGATTTAATAGCAGTATTCCATACACAAACCATATAATCAGCGTTCGTCATCATGGTGCTTGTGCTTTGCAAGGCTTGACGAATTTCATAAGTCACTGCAGCAACTTGCTTCCTTTGCCGTGATCAGAAAAAATGATGAAAGGTGTACATTTTGTACATCATAATAGGTTATGAGGGGTTAAGATTTACATCATCAACACCACATCTTAATTTTGAACAGACACCTATAAAACACGGTCCAACAATTGGACGATTACTTTTGGAGAGTCTTTATGAGATGTCTACTCTCATTGGGATGATTAAACTGACAAGATTACACTGAAATGTGGCTAGTGTTCGCTGTCTCGAAATGAATGATGTAATTTATTACCTTAATTACTGTTAAATATTGTGCATGCACCTAAAGGGCGTCGTTTAATACTTTTGTGACTTTAATCACTTTCCTCCGTTACCTTGCGATGTCGCGCGCGCGGGGGGAGGGGGGGGGGTGGGTTATATATATTATGTTTATATGGCCCAAAATACAGAACATTTTTCTTTACTGAGCCAACAATTTTCTAATAAAATTTTTGTTTGGTTGCTGGCCTACTCGAGGTCCATGCAACGCTACATGACTGGTAAATTAATAAATAAGCTAGATTTTTTTAACACCGACAGGCAAAAGGGTGAACAAGCTTTTAAATCATCATACTATGCGCCTCTTCAGGAATAGATTGGAAACATAGACCTTGATTCAAAACCTTACTCTTTGCTTTAGTGACACTGATTTATTGCGTCTAAAATTAATGGTGATACGACTGTATTATGATCATTTCATTCGAAGTCTTATCTGTATCTTGTTTCTACTGCCCAGCCAACACAAAGTGATGGGCCTCTCGAAAGCCAAGAACTGAAGCAGCTAGCAAATGGACACCGTCTGGTATTGATCAGTTGATGTAAGAGGGCAACAGATAGAGAGAAAAAAAACAGAACACACTATGGTTCCTGCCCAGCTTTATATATGACCAAGTGCAACGTTAAGACTTGGAAAAATTATGTGGAGCTAAATAAGCTTGTGAAAATAACATGACATTTGTCAAGGCCATCCGTAGAATGGCTGATCTCTTCGTGTACACATACACGCTTGATGGGGGGTGGGGACATACAATAATCTATAAACAAAGAATGAATATAAAACTTTCCAATTTAAGGGCAATATAAGAAGGATATACCCCTTACCTTGTCAAAGTTAAAAATCCAGCCCTGAAACTGAAGTTCACGAAACTCTAGTGAAGTAAAAGTTTCCGCTCAAAGAAAACAGCTTAAATAAATAAAGCATTATTTTTGTAGAAAGTCAGCATTCACAAATCATTAGCTCACCGAATTTTCTGATTGGTTGCCAAGTTTCATTGGATATTGATCCTGTTGAAATAGTGCTGTGAGAGTTTGTGAAAGCAAGTGACCTAGAACCACATATGAAGCCCAAAAATAGACCTGCTGCAGTTACCTTACAATGAGCCTTGGGAACAGAGTCTGGAATGGCAAGATTGTCAGTCCGCTCAAACTGGGTTTTTCCTGTTGGTCAAATGAAAATGCCCAATTGCGTTGTTCAGCAATGTCCAGCCAATGCTTTACTCATGCCATGTCCTGATGCAGCCTGCATTATCCTGACCTGGTGATACAATTTCAGGTTTTATGGATCTAGGCTGCTTCTTCCCTGCCTTCCAGGCCATATACCACACTAAGCAGAGTATATAATATTAGCAGACAGATATAATAAATTAAGAAAAAAATGTTATGTATATGCATCTACACTACAGAGAGTCAAACTCATTTGTGTCATGACGCTGTGGAATCAGGTGCTGGTCAGTTTTGGGGTTTGTGGAGTTGTTGGTATCATCTTAAATTGTCCATTTGCCTTGCTTTCCATGAACCCCCCATCTATCTTAAATAGAATTGGAGACATTGTTATTCAAAGGAGGTGCAGGAATAGCGTTGTATCCGAGGCAAAAGTGGTGAAAAATTACCTCCAAAAATGTTCGGTGACTTCCATAACATGAGAGTCCATTGAAACTGAAAAATGTACATTTTTTGTGTCTTTGATTTTAATCTACATTTTTCTGAGAAATTTACACAAAAATGTATTTTTTTAATAAACAGAAAGATGTTTAGCCATAAAAAAACAAAATTTATAAAAAAAATTGCCAAAACTAGAGAAAAAATAACAGCTTCTTCAATTTCATTATTTTGACGAGTGTCTGATTTCACATTGATGTCCCACATTTTTTTTAAAATGAGCCACTGTGAAGAACCTAACTTTTATACCACAGCCATAGATCTATATTGTCAGTGTCAATTCACAAGTACACTTTGAAGTTATGAGAAAATGTTATATATAGTATTGTGTAGTAAGATTCTCTTGATGTCTTTATGCGAATATGTTTCCTAAGGAAACCCCCAGAAATGAACTTTGGAAAGTGAAGTAATCATTTAACGATTTATAAATCTCGGCCAGCTGCTAAAATGTCAGGCCCTGAAAGCAAAATTTTGCAGGATAAAGAAAAAAATATATAAATGGTGGAGTCTACTTATACCGAACACGGACGGTTAATCCGAAAATGGCGATAAACCGAGAGAAAATAAAATCCCCAATTTTGGTGTTTTCTGACTCAACACCTGTCATGCTCATTAAAAAATCCACTTCTGTATGGATTTTTCAGAAAAACGTTGATTAAAGGCACAAAAAATGCAAATTTTCAGTTACAAGGGACTCTTAAGCTAAGGAAATAACTAATCTTTGGCGACCATTTTCTCACTAATCTTACCTCTGAAAACAGGTGACCCCCACCCCCTTCATTCGCAAATATCTCGACTTGTATTCAAGATAAATGGATTATATTTTTTTCACCCAAATAAAGACAAATGAACAAGCTTTAAGATGATACCAATAACTTTACATGCCCAAAAATTGACGAGAACCTGATTCCACCACGCTGCTTCACAAATAAGAGTTTGACTATAAGCCCTATACTTTTTAGTTACATTCCCACATGAAAACATAAAATGAGCCACACACTCTAATTGACATTCTAAATGCTTGAAGAAAGGGTCGCGGATGTTGGAGAAATATTAAATATATTAAATCACCATAAAGAACAATAATATAACAACATTATTGCATCTGTTCCGCGCTATTTACTGTTTGGCGAATAAAGATTGCGCTGTACATTTTAACGATCGTCATCATTCTTGTTCGCTTTTCAGTTTCATAATATGAAAGCATATTACGCTAATTTAAATTTTGATTTTTATATTTTGACACTTTTGAAAATATATGTGAATGTTCCCTGGTGAGAGTAAAAGAATAACGATGGAAGTGAATTTTTAAAAAAATTATTTTAAAAGATATAAAATGAATTAAAAGTACTTTGTGAACTTTGAGCTTGATACCTGGTATTGTATCATTCTTGTGAGCTCTTCAGTTTCATATGTCAATTTAATATTCATATTTTTACACTTTTGAAAATATATGCGAATGTTCCTTGATGTGAGTAAAAGAATAAAGATGGAAGTAAAAAATTTTTTTTTTTATTTCAAAAATATAAAATATTAACACAGTTTTCAAATTGCAGCACAGTTATACGATCATTAAAATGCGCAGCGCAAGATTGCGTCGATTAGAAAATAGCGTGAAACTTTCCATTCATGACAAAGAAAAATTTTCTGATTTGTTTTTTAATCATAATATTAATAAAATAGAGATGAAAAAATTTCACGAAAAGGCATTTTAAATAGGCTAATATTTAAAAAAAATTCATTTCCTGGCATTTTGTCAGATAATACTCCTATTCTGAGACATATTTGATCTAAAAGATAGGAGGGGGGGGGGGTCCTTTTGGGTTTTTTGTGTAATACCCTTGATCAGAATTTTGTCACGTGAAGAAACCCCAACAAATTCTGATCCTAACCACTAAACCCCAAACGCTTAAAGAGTTGAATTCCAGAATACAGTCAAATCCCGTTATACCACCTACCTTGGGACAAGCATAAGCTGGGTAAAGTGAGACTGGAGGTATAATGACAGAATAGAACTGATTGCCATCCTGGCTAGTAGAGACTGTTATAATAGAGACAAACTGTAGCCAGTCTTGACTCATCCTTCTGTCTTGCGCGATAACCATACCCAAGGGAAAAGCGAGTAGCAACCATTAAAATGTATAATATTATTATGTAAGCCTACAGCTCCAGGTGAACTTTAGGCAAATTCAATTTAAAAATATCTGCCCGATCAGAAGCTTAGCTATTAGGTGTTAAGGACCCTGTAGACGCACAGGTTTTTAAATTATTTTTTTTAACGAATACTTGTCAGTCTTCTGGCTACCTATAACCTTTCACGTGGACCTGAGTGTGAGTCCTCCCCGTATAAACGGTTCACGGATTCCTGCCAACTTTTTGGTCATGTCAGCGGGCTAATGTCTGGCGACGCCAGATATTTTGACGACAGGCCGATGTGGTGCAGTTCCTTTGAAGTTTCTCCTTGCGACTTTAAAAGTTAATTCCACTACCTTTTTTTTATTTGCCAAGCCTTAAACTTAAAACAATAGCATTTCCATAACCAGGAGCAAATCAACAGGTGCTAGAAAATGCCGAGCTCGCGGAGAAGTGTGCGGGAAAAAGTGTAGGGGCCTATCAAGCAGCCACCTATGGGTGACGTGTACCTGTGTAGTCTGGTTGCCAATTCGCTAGCTGTATGTCGGGGCAAATTTACATTAGTTTATTAAAGACAGTACAATTCAGACAGTTGGCCGATGTCGGTGTGAATACGCAAATACTATGTTTATAGATCAAGAAGATGTGTGAGGGAATGAGCTACAGTGTCTTACTTGGAGGGCAGCGGACAATGGTATGAGTTTAACGCCCCTATCAACACTATTAGGTTATTTAAGAGGTGGGACCTCCCAATTTAACGTCTGTCTCCGATAGGACCGAGCCAAGTGGGAAGTTCGTGAAAAGTGCCTTTCCCAAGGACACAACGTCGGACCGAGCTGAGGCTTGAAGCCCCGAACCCGCAATCTCACGATTACGGGTCCGGTAGCCTAACCACTAGGCTACCGACGCCGCCGGATTATGCGGCCGCGTTTTTTTCGCGTAATTCTGCACATTTGCATAATTTTGGATTCCCGCGTTTTTTCACGTTTTTTTCCTTTTTTTAAAACAAAACAATTAATTTTATTAATTAACGCCTCCATGTGACTAAAGGGAAATAATCACTGTAATAAGTCTTATTTAAGTGAAAATTTGGTTATTTCCCTTGGTAGAAGATCTTGGTTATGGTTTGGGATTTTGTTCCTTGAGCATGTTCAATTTTTCAATCCATCAAAAGTTGTTGTTCTCATGTCTGCTGATGCTTCATGTTTGACAAGTGTTCCTGGTTTTAGTAATGTGCCAGCATCAGAGGTCCTGATGTCCTTTTTTTTTTTTTTTTTTTTTTACATTTTTCTTTCCCAGATCTAGATCTAGATATCTAGATCTACAGCTGAAAGTTAGAGATTATTTTTTTTATTTATTTTTTTTAAAACAGATGTGTATTGTTTTCTTTCCATACACACTACAAATTACTGACACTGATATGTTCTGTTTTAAATTTTTCTGTACTTAAAACATAAAAGTCATGAAAATTTGTGTTGAAAAAGTGCAAAACATGTCGCGAAAGGTGTTACGGTAACTTGCATAATTTTTGCATAATTTGGCTTTTTTGGGCATAATTTGACCATCTAAATTTGCATAATTCTACGGGGACAGACAGACTCATTTGAAGTTAAAACAGGAGTGAGACAGGGTGCCCGCTATCGCCTTTTCTCTTTTCATTAGCAGTGGTTTGGATAATGAGACTGACAACATCGAGGCAACGCGGTGGCATACAGTGGACCTTGTCCAGTCAGTTGGAAGACTTAGACTTTGCCGATGACTTGGCACTTCTTTCTCACAGTCGAGTGCAAATGCAACAGAAGACATATCGCTTCAGGACCTTCTACTGTAGTGTTGGACTCCATATTCACACGGATAAAACGAAAGTTCTTCGAATGAATGCAGCCGACGTTCATATCACACTGCAAGGGGCACCATTGGCGGATGTTGAATCCTTCACCTACCTGGGAAGTGTCATCAACAAGGCAGGGGGAACAGACAAAGACATCACGGTCAGAATCCAAAAGGCATTTGGAAGCACAGAAAGTTCTGTATTTATGCTTCATAGATTATTCAAAGGCGTTCGATACAGTTAGACATGATGAGCTATTTAAAATACTTGAAAAGCTAGACATAGATGGAAAAGATCTAAGAATTATCAAAAATGTGTAATGGGACCAAAACGCTGCTGTACGAATTAACGGAGAATACAGTGAATATAAGCAGATTAGGCGAGGAGTGAGACGAGGGTGTGTTATGTCACCAGACCTCTTTAACATGTACAGTGAAACAATCCTTAGAAACATATAAGAATGTCCAGGCCTCAAAGTAAATGGAGAAAATATTGATTACATCAGGTATGCAGATGACACAAAAAGGACCTTCAATTGCTTCTAGATACTGTTGTAACAGAAAATGAACGTAAAGGATTAGTGTTGAATGTAAAGAAAACAGAATGCATGGTAATATCCAAAAAAGTAGCAAATCCTATTTGTAATCTCATTAGCAAAGGTGAAAAGATCAAACAAGTCCAACAGTTTAAATATCTAGGATATATGATAACATCTGATGCCTAATGTTCCACAGAAATAAAAAGGAGAACTACAATGGCTAAGGCTAGTTTCAATAAAATGAGCACAAACCTGAAAAATAGAAACATCTCAATGAAAGCCAAAATGAAAGTCCTGAAATGCTATGTTTGGTCAACCAATCTATATGGCTGTGAATGCTGGACTATCACTAAAGACAGTGAAAATAAAATAGAATCAACAGAAATGTGGCTTTTAGGAGACTGCTAAGAGTGTCGTGGAAGGAAAAGAAATCAAATGAGGTAGTGTTTGATCCAGCCCACGTTGGACGCTCAATGTTAAAAACAATCAGGAAACGACAAATGCGGTTTTTGGGACACCTGAATAACATAAGAGTCTTGAACATCTAGCTCTCACTGGCAAAATTGAGGGCAAGCGAGGCAGGGGTAGGCCCAGAACAACATACTTAAGGAACCTAAACAAATGGGTAGCAGGGAAAGATCAGGGAAACGTAGCTATTTTGAGAGCATCGGAGCAAAGGAATGAATGAAAAACCATAATCACCGATATCTGTCACTGGATGATGATCAGCATTCATCATCATCAGGAATATATTGACGTCTAAGGAACTGGGATTGAACACCAAGGTGAGGATCTTCAAACCAAACGTGAAGACTGTTCTACTGTGTGGTTCAGAGACTTGGAGGCTCACAGCATCTGCAACAAGGAAACTGCAGAGCTTCATAAATGGATGCCTTAGAAGGATAGTGGGAATCGAGTGGTGCGATCGAGTAACAAATGCTCAACTGTGGGAAAGAACAAGCCAAAGGCCAGTAAAGGAAAAGATACAGGTGAAGAAATGGAAAAGGATAGGACACACCATGAGGAGACCCCCGACAAGCATCATCAGACTGGCATTGATGTGGAATCCACAAGGAAAACGTAAGAAAGAAAGACCAAAGATGACATGGAGCCCGGAGGCGAGCGGTACAGGCGGAAATGGAAAAGGCGGGGACACCATGTAAACAGCTAGAAAAGGATGCACAGAACAGGCTTTGCTGGAGAAATGTGGGGAGTTAAAAATGGCAAGAGAGAGAGAGAGAGAGAGAAAGAGAGAGAGAGAGAGAGAGAGAGAGAGAGAGAGAGAGAGAGAGAGAGAGAGAGAGATGTTTATTGATAGGTGCTCCTTTTTATACATTGGCGAAACCTGGCTGTTAGTAGAGGGGCTGGGGGAACAACAGGGGCAGTACAATGAGGCTTGACTGTATTTTTACCAAATTGTATTAGACTTTGTAATACAGATAAGAAGCTTTCGACATTTATTGAGGACAACATGTTTTATTTTGTACATAATTATTTTCCTGTTCCTTTGAGTTTCTTCTGTGACGCTTTTTTTTTAGAGGGGATTAGAGGGATGAAAAGTCGAAGTGTGGATGGCAGTTCGGTCATGATTCACTTTATTCATAATTTGTTTGAGCAGGTGGTTAGAGAGAGGGCGCCACTGGCTAGTTGACTTTTTTCTTTCTTACTGTTGTGTCTCTTTGTCTATCTCCCTTTTTCCACACACTAATCGACTGTTATTGGGTCGCTGTGCTTCTTTTTACGCAAACTGTAGGCCTAAGTATGATGTTCTTTTTGTTTTTGCAGAAAAGTTCAGTTGCTGCATCGACTATGAGAACGGATCTGTTCAACAGTAATTTAAAGTCTTGTGAATGATAGAGGCTCTACTCTTGCTTTCCCGTGGTTCAAGCTCCAGACTTTAATTTTCCGGGCATTTTTTTCAAGCTGAAGACCTCAGGAATTATCTATATCAACCTATATTGGAGCAGAAGGAGATGTTCTAAAACTCAGAATCTACTCAAGGTTATGAGCGGAGAGAGAGTTCAGAGACCAAGGCTGCAAATTTTGTTGTCTGTCATCCAAGTTTTTATTAAAGCATAAACTCACCCAGGCTTTGCAGAACAGATGGCTCAAAACAACGGAATGAAAACACAGATAGAAGTGTCTGTTTCTGAAGGACAGGTAGGCTTTATTAAAGATCAGATTGGTACTTTTGAGGACTGCACTGTTGAATATAATCACAGCACCGCGAAAGTCCTCTTGAGGGGTAACAATGACAAAGTAACTGCTCGGAGAATAAAGATACTGACATCATTGAGTGAAGTACGTGAACAAAGTATAGAACTGAGTGCGGCGCAAAAGGCTATTCTCGACCAAGAGAAAGGGAGACTATTTTTGAAAGACTACTTGAACGACTTTCACTTTTATTTCAAGAATGAAGAACTTGTGGTTTTGACAAAGAATTTTCAGGAACTTGAAAAGAATATTCAGGCACTAGCTTCCCGACTTAATGGCAAGGAACATGTTGCTCTTGATAATGATGTGTCTGAAGGTCTTGCCGCTGCTCTTCAACAAATAGAAGAAGATTCAGATCTGCTTGTGAAATTGTCACATGATGAAAAATCTATAACTATTGAAGGAGTGAGAGAGGATGTAGCAATAGCTAAAAGAAAAATCTTGGAGATGAAAGATGAATTTTTACTCATTAGTGATTCCTTTTCTGTTGATGGACAAGTGGCAGTATTTATCAAGAGTCATTTGTTAGACAAGTTTTACAATTTGTTTTCTGATATAAAAGTTGAAAACAAATTAAACCAGACGGAGAAACTACTTGCTTCTGTAAAGGGTACAAAGAGCAAGGTTGCTGAGGTTAAAAGTAAATTCAAAGCATTTGTTGGTCGTATTACTTTAAGAGAAATGGATTATTCTTTGAGTCCACCTCAAGCCTATTTGTTGTCCAAGGGGATGGAACTTTACACTTCTGTACGGGACAAGATCAAGGCATTTGAAATAGAGAAAAAGTGTTCAGTTATCTTTCGTGTCAATAGCACCGAGGTGACAACAGCTGATGATTCTATGAATAATGACTTGAGTTCTAGGGCTGCTGTGTCAGCAGCAGGTGAAATTGTAATCAATTTGTCAGACAGTTGCAAACTTCACATTAAAAATTCCAAAGATATCACAAATGAGAATTCCGATGTCCTTGTATGCCCGATAATGGAAGAGACAAATCAACATACCACTGTGCTGAACCGTTTTAAGAATCTGTGTCCTGGCATCATTGAAGAACTGGCATCTGAAAAAGAAAAGAACCCTTCCAGCAGAACGTATGTGACACGCCAGAGTCTGGGTAATCTGAGATGCAAGGCTGTGGTGCATGTGGTCCTTAAAAAGAGTCGTGATCCCAGCAGTGACCAAGACTTGAAGCAACAGATTGTGAATGCTCTGCAACAAGCAGTCATGCTAGGAACAGAAGCAAAATCAATTTCGTTCCCAGTCATGGGTTATGGCAGAGCATTTAAGTTCTCTGTACAATCAGCAGCTAGGATAGCAGTGGATGCAGTGAAACTCTTTGTAAGGTCTTCCCCGACTAGCAGCCTCACAGACATTGTGTTTTTGGCCCCAGAAGATACTCTGTTCAAGCAGTTTCAGCAGTGCTTGGGTTCTTCATCTGCACCTGCTGCTGAGAAACGCCGTGCCCCTCCTGTAAACTTTGATGTATTGGTAGCGGGGACCAAGGATACTGATTTTGTACAAATTAAGTCAGAATTATGGAGAGAACTTGAAGTGAATTGTCTGGGTTACAAGGAGTTCAACCAAGATATTCTGAAGGATTTCCCTAGTGATTTTCATAAGGAGGTAATGAAAGAAGCAAAGAGGTTTGGGGTGTGGGTGGAAAAAAACAAAGGAAACAAAGCTGGATACAGGATCTGGGGTACTGTTGAAGGAAAGCAACAATTGATAGGAGCCATCCAAACACGCCTTACGCCGATGCTGAAACAATTTGAAAATCGAATAAAATTCTTCAAAGAAAAGAGAGGCACGATAGAATTCATAAGACGTGCTGCAAAGTCAGATGATGATTTTCCTTCTTATTGGTCAGTGAAGTCATCCAATGAGGGATCACAGGCTTCCAAGAAAGTTAATGTGGGTAAACAGACAAGTAAAGCTATACAAGATATGATCCAGAAGCTTTTTAATGAAAGAAATGTAGGTACTGGTAGTGATGCACAAGGTCTTTCCCACAAAAGTATCAAGGTCATTAAGATAAAGAGGTTGGAAAACTGTGACTTGTTTGCAAAGTATGCATTCCAAAGACGACGGTTACTTATGAGGAAGGCTAATGAAGGGCATGCTTGTTCAGACATAAGGAAACTAAAGTCAGCAATAGAATCGCTCACATCTAGCAGTGGTGTTGCCTCTACAGAAAATCTTGAAAGTTTCATGACAACCGAACTTTTATGCCACGAAATCAACGAACATTACTTGTTTCATGGATGTGGAGACCTGGCTTTGGCAGATATCTCGAACAATGGGTTCGACCCTAGAGTCTCCAATCCTGGAATGTTAGGAAGAGCTACATATTTTGCTGAGAACCCAACCAAGTCTGACCAATACGCAGGTGAGTTTCAGGAATCAGATTGTTACAGTTCAGAGTAAAATGTTTGTGTTTTATTTGAGTGATAAGTTCACCAATATTAATGATACATTAGTGTGTATGAAGGCAGCCTTTCAAGTAGCAAATTGTGTCTATGAAAAGTGACCCGTTGGCCGTTGTAACTTAGTAGCAACAGTTAGGGGGCTTTTTCGTTACCAAACTACTTCTTTGAAGGGTCCCTAAACTGTTCATTTCTGCTATCTTAGAAAAAATGGGTTTGTGTTCTGTGAGTGAGTCGAATAAGGCGTTTCTTCAAACCCAATTTTTCCTTCCATACTATTAGAGTTTGTCCATCTGTATTCAGATGTTTGTAAAGTGAACACAGAAATCTGTTCAAGTTTCAAGTTTTCCAGTTAAAAGCAGGCTTCACCGATGACTGTGATATCATGACTGCTGGGTCTTTGCCTTGCACCCCAATGATATGAGTTCCAGTCCAGTGTGGAGAAGTTTATTTTAACTTGTTTGTCCATCTTTTTGCTGAGATTCTGAACCCTACTCAGTATGGGTAGGCCTTTACTTGTGGCTTCGAATTAGCCTGCCTCCTGAATAATCTAAAATGCGTCGGCTGATGCTTGTAATAAGTGAGGCATCGTGATGAAATCAAGCGCTTGTCATAATAATAAAATCGAAGAAACTATCGTTTTTCTGCCTGGTGGCCAATTTTTAAAAATTGCTTTTATTGTTTTGGGGCTCACCACCTCTTATGTCGATTTAAAACCACTTTTCTTGTTGGATTTTACTGAAAAACATTGATTAAATGGACCAAAAATGTAAATTAATTTTGTAGTTTCCAGGGACACTTAAGCTTGGAAAGTCACCTAACTTTGGTGCCCATTTTCTCGCCAATTTTATCTCTGAAACCATGCGACTCCCACCTTCAATCGCAAATATCTCGACTTCTATTCTTGATAGATGGGTATTTTCTTCCTTTGAAAGCAAGACAAACGAACAAGCTTTAAGGCCATCTGCGGGTGAGATTTTCCCCATTTTTCCCCAGTTTGACCATACAGTTTTTCCTCTCATTTTTGAAACCTACATCCATTTCCATCAAAGTTTCGAGCGTCCGTTTCAATCAATTATATTTCAAAGTCATTTAAAAATGGGTTTTAAAAAAATATTTTGCAATTTTGGGTCATGTTTTTTAATATTTTCTTAATTTTTTAAAAATATTTATTTTTTCGACTTTAAATTACATCTTTTCTTTTATTTTTCACCTGAATAGCTTCATTATTTAACACAATGTACATCCAATGGAGACCTATACTGAAATAGAGCCCTTTTTTAAGATACTCTAAGATTAAACTTACAATCAGTGTTTTTGTTGGGAATTTTGAGATTTTTTTGCTCTTCATCTATGTACACATTTCCAGAGTCCATAATTATTTTTAAAATAATAATATTACAAATCTGGCGTTATTTCTTCATTATATAGGTGTTGTAGTTTGTACTTGCTAAAAATGAAAGCCAACGGACGAAAACTAAGAGAGAAGATAGCTTTTGAAATTTGATAAAATTATCCAATATGGCGGATGTTTGCTTGGTTACCATGGTAACCATGTGCTTATAATAATAAATAATTACTTGAATTAATTCTTCAATGTCTGACTAATATGAATATATCATCTTTGCTACATATAGTCAAGGGATATGGATTTTAGAAATTCCACCAGCAGATGGCCTTAAGATGACACCAACTACTCCACACGACCAAAAATTGACAACGGATTGATGCCACTGCGTCGTGACACAATACCATGATCATTTATATATAACTACGCTTCAGTGTGATTTTTCTCTGTACCATTTGTCTGAACACTGTGCCTTTTCTTCAATCCTTTCTGTTTCATTAATGCTTGAAACTGGGGCAAGCAGACATTTTCCAACAGTCACTATCCCATCTTCCTGAAACAGTTGTGTTCTCCTCACTTCCGTACACTCAAATTTTGGTGGCTCATTTGGTCCTCAGATGTAAAAGGTAGTAGATCTCCCGTTGGCACCAAGCTCAAAATGATTCTGGCCAGGGTCCTTCTCGGAGATACTTTTTTATGTGGCAAGGATTTTGTCACTAACGCAAGTAAGTTCTTCTTAGTCAGCCTTTTTGCCCCGCTATGGTGGTTGGAGGGCACTACTGTTAAGTCCTGCTTCTTTACTTTCCCTTTGTTGTACTGTCTGTCCGTCATACTTTTTTCCTGCACTTAATGACCATTATTGTGTCAATGTGCTTCTCTTTACACAAACAAACTAACAAGAACAATCTCTTCTAATGGCATCCCTAGTGAAGTTGATCAAGAACCTTAGAACCTGACCAGGGGGCACTCACGGTCTAAAAGTTACGGTGTTCGCCTTTCATTCAATGGGTCCCGGGTTCGAAACCTGACAGCGACGAAAAATTTTGTTCTCTAAAATTGTCTCTTACCACTTCCTTTTCTGCTCTCTAACCATGTTCTATCGTCTGCTTTTGTCTCCACTTTCTGCCCCCACCCCTCCCCCCTTTGCCCCGTCCTCTGGGCTTCTCGTTCTTCTGCTACTTCTTGGCTCCTTCTTACTGTTGCTTTTCAGCTACACCTCTGATCTTAAGGTAGGTAATATCTAACACCTAGCCTTCTCGAATGAGGGCAAAAAAATTCAGAGGTCCGGTGTGCAAGTTGGTCCAAATTCAATCAGAGTTGGCTTCGGCCTCCACCCGGGCAATTTTTTTATTTTATTTAATAAACCTCACCAATTCATGGAAGTTCCAGGTGAAGCTAAACTTTTTGTAGCATTTTTCTAGAAAGTGTTTATTTCCTGCCTGTTGTCGTGCAGTGGGAAGTTGTGGTTTGCGGTAAGAGTAATCATTCTATAGACCTATTGTGAGTGTTAGAAGTAGGAAGTTTCAATCTTGCAAAAGAATTGTGTGAAAAAAAAAAATAATTTTTGTATTTATTTTATTTTTTTTGTAAAAATTTTGTATTCATTTATTTTTATTTTTAAAATCATTTTTTAGTTTGGGGGGGGGGGGGGCTTTGTTGAGCCCTGTCAATCAAAGCTGTTCCCGTCTTTTTCTCCGCGAAAGTAATCTGCTATTTTGTTTTGGTAAGTGTTTTACAGCGCTCACATCTGCATAAGCCATATGAACATGTGGACACTTTAAGCATGGTGGAAAGTAATTTTGAATTTTGTTCATGCGGTGGTCGAAGCCTACTCTTATCAATGTTTATGACCACCAAGAGACCTATAGTGTGCGCAACTTGCACGCGGGACCTTCGAGATTGTTCGCCCTTATCCGAGAAGGCTAGGTGTTAGATCTTACCTACCATAAGGTCGGGGTGTGGCTGAAAGACAGCAGTAAGAAGGAGCCAGGTGTAGCTGTAGAAAGAGTCAGGAGCCTCGTGGAGGGGGGGGGGGGGGGAGAGGCAGAAAGTGGAGATGAAAGCAGATGACAGAACATGATTAGAGATTTTTAAAAAGAGAGTGAAAGGAGAAGATTTTTCGAGAAGTAAACTTTCCGTTGCTGTCAGTTTTCGAACCCAGGACGTACTAAATGAGAGGGAAACACCGTACCTCTTGACCACGAGAGTGTCCCCAGTCTACCTTTGAAATTACCTTTGTGTTTTGTAATAAGACTTAATCCAATATTGGGTCATATCTCTTCTACCCGATGTTGCTGTGGTGTGTGAAAATCATTTCTTTCCCCAGAGCGTGCTCATTAGAAGCTGATGTGTTCTCACCTTGTGGGAATCGAACCTATACCTGTTGAATACATGATGTAGGGTAGCATACCGTTGCAACATAGATGGAGATCTTTCAACAGGGTAGCCTGTTACACAAAATGACAAGTTGACTGCTGATATGTTTATGAAGCATACTATGAAGCTGTTGAAAGCCTTTTCTTTGTAAGGAATGTAATTGCGAATGGGTTTAACGCCCCTATCAACACAATTAGGTTATTCAAGAGGTGGATCCTCCGAATTTATTGTCCGACTCTGACGACAGGTCCAAGCCAAACGGGTTGAGAGTTTTGAAAACTCTAAAAATTACCCGAGTTCAAGAACGCCAGTTTGGGATTCAAACCAGGGCCATCCGCTCAGTGGTCCAGCTCAGTACCAAGTGAGCTATTGGAGTGCCTTACCCAGTTCGTTACCTCAGAATTACAAAGTTCTCTCTGAAATTGTCGGCCGCTTTTAAGTTACTAAGACCGTGAGGTTAGAAATCAAATGTTTTATCTGCTCTATCAAAATAGTAAGATTATTCTGAGTCGTTATCAAGATATTCAAAGAATCGCATTTTTTTTTTCAAACGTGAAATATTCTGAAACTCTATATTTTTTACGTCAAATTTCTCAAAACTGGATACTGAGCAGATAAAACTTTGTAATTCTGATTTAGCAAGTTCTTAATTATATTGTGTATATATGGAAGCAACAACGAACAATAGGGTCTACAGATGGGCTCCAAAAATGTCTCTGGTCAGCTCTTGACCGTTGGTTTGTTGTTCTTGCTCCCTCCCCCCCCCACACACACTTTTTTTGGTTTTTGTTTTGATTTGTTTGGTTTTTGTTTTGTTTTTTTTTATAATTGTTGATTGTTGTTTTTTATTGTTTTTTTTGTTGGGTTTTTTTTTGGGGGGGGGGGGGGGGAGGGGGCTTATTCCTATGTCCCTTTTTTACGTCATGTCGCGAACAATAACTATAATTTTTTTTGGATGTGAGTAAGTATGAACAATATATTAGCAACGAGAAAACGCATTGAAAGAGGATTTATCTTAATGTTAAGATAAGGTTATTTCTGTTGTTTTTTTTGTGGGGGTTTTTTCATTTAGCTTTTTTCGCCTCTTCTATATGTATCTAGTTCCCATCAGGCTGTCCAGGAGGGCGGTTCACGTAGATAATTCTTAGTGTAGTTGAGGTATCTATTCAGAACTTACTTTGCCTAAGTACTGTGCACATTCGGGGTCTCTGCTCTCCTTGGAGCGACATGGAGGCAGTCATAATATCATGCGAACAACAAATTGTAACTTACTTTAAAAAGGGAGATCTCAGCCAGATATTTTATTGGGCACACACCCGTTTTCCCGCATTCCATGCATTGAGAGACCAGATTTTGAAGTTTTGAATATAGTCACTAACCCTCCCCAGTTTAAAAATAGAAGCCAAAATGTGTGTGCGTGTGTGTGTGTGTGTGTGTGTCTGTGTGTGTGTGTCTGTGTGTGTGTCTGTGTGTGTGTGCTTGGTGTAATGGTCCAGTTGTCCGAAATTTCAGATAAAACTAAGAGCACATTCTTGAAGCAAATTCAACGTTGAACACGCTGATTTTTTAAATTTTAAAAATATCATGAGTAGTGATATGCCACTTTTTGTAACACAGGGTGTAAAGACAAAGATTGGAGAAAAATGTCTTTAACCTTAGTATGTTGAATGTTGAACAATTTCTAGCACATTTTTAACCTTTGGTGAAGTACAATATGTTGCAAAAATGATTAATTAAAAAAACTGACTTTAAATGTTATAAAATCCTTTCAATATGTTATTAAGAAATGGTTAGATGTCTGTTTTGTGATGGGAGTAAATTTTTGACCGGGTACTACTTTTTTTTACCTTTTCACCTCATTGCTAAAAAGTAGCTAGGCCAACAACTGTGACCTTTCTCCGGGCACACGCACATAGTATTTGTGGGCTGCCACTTATTGGTGATATTGCTTCAATGCTCCTGCAAGAGAGTGACAGGAATCATGTGGCTTGAAATGAAGTCTGACATCATATCTGTGTTGGAGCAAGTGTTAAATCAATGTTGATACATTGTTTCATTGTATGGCATATTAGGTTCTAACAGAAAGATGAAGAACTGGACAAAATAACTTCTCCACTTATTAATCTGACTCACACTCCAAGGTTCAACAGCATACATATTCCACTGATGTAATCGAGAGGGAGAGGAGAAAGAGAGAGAGAGAGAGAGACAGAGAGACAGAGAGAGACAGAGAGAGACAGAGAGAGAGACAGAGACAGAGACAGAGAGAGAGACAGAGAGAGAGAGACAAAGAGAGAGAGAGAGACAGAGAGAGAGAGACAAAGAGAGAGAGAGACAGAGAGAGAGAGGGGGGAGGCAAAGAGAGAGAGGGAAAGAGAGAGCGCTCTGTGTGTTTATTTTTGTGTGTATCATTTTGCCTGTGTGCTTCAGTGTGTGTGTGTGTGTGTGTGT